GAGGTTCCTCTCCGCCCACCTCTCCAGCCTGTCCAGGTCCCTCTGAAAGGCAGCACAGTCTTCTCGTGTGTTAGCCTCTCCCCCCAGTTTAGTATCATCAGCAAACTTGCTGAGGGTGCACTCTGTCCCTTCCTCCAGGTCATTGATGAATACATTGAACAAGACTGGACCCAGGACTGTCCCCTGGGGGACACCGCTGGCTGCAGGCCTCCGTCTTGACTCCACACCGCTGACCACAACCCTCAGAGCTCTGCCATCTAGCCAGTTCTCAATCCACCTCACTGCCCACTCATCTAGCCCACACTTCCTGAGCTTCCCTGTGAGGATGTGATGGGAGACAGTGTCAAAAGCCTTGCTGAAGTCCAGGTAGACAACATCCACTGCTCTGCCCTCATCTACCCAGCCAGTCATTCCATCATAGAAGGCACTCAGATTGGTCAAGCATGTTTTCCCTTTGGTGAATCCATGCTGACTACTCCTGATCCCCTTCTTGTCCTCCACATGCTTAGCGAGGACCTCCAGGAGGAGCTGTTCCATCACCTTTCCCGGGATGGAGGTGAGGCTGACAGGCCTGTACTTTCCTGGCTCCTCCTTCTTGCTGTTTTTTTGAAGACTGGCGTGACATTGGCTTTCTTCCAGTCCTCAGACACCTCTCCTGATCTCCAGGACCTTTCCAAGATGATGGAGAGTGGCCTAGTGATAACATCCGCCAGCTCCCTCAGCCCTCGTGGGTGCATCCCATCGGGGCCCATGGATTTGTGGATGTCAGGTTTGGACAAAAGATCTCTAACCTGATCCTCCTCGACCAAGGCAGAGTCGTCTTTTCTCCAGAAAATGCAGTTAGAGAAACATGCTTTTATTTCTTGATCCAATCTGAAAGCGTGGTGTGCTATTTTTGAGGAAAGGTTATGATGATTCATCCAGAGGTAGTTTACACCATGTCATACCCCCAGCCCTGTTTCAGATATCTGATGCCCTAATTTTACTCAGCTTGTATCTCTGTTCTGAGAGCCTTGTAGCTATGACTGATGCAAACCGACATCATACATTAATTTGAAACCTTTTTAAAAGGCAACTCTGTGATAGCTGCAGCGGGGGGTAAAAGTTCAGTGTTTTCCATTATTCAGTCATGTGCTGATGAGAGTATGTTCTGCTTCCATTCCTTCTGCTGATAGTCATGGCTATCTAGATATCTTCATATAATTTTGCAGAGTTGGAAGAAATTCAGCAAATTTAAAATACAGTATATGTACACATGCACACATTTAAGTAACGATTTGAAAAATTCATGTATTCTTAGAGCATATTTGCACTTACAGTTGTATGTAGCGATGTAGTGATTTTTTTTTTTTTTTTGAACAGAGTTTTCCTTCTTCGATCCCAATGATGCAGCCTGCCAGGAAATACTTTTCAACCCCAAAACATCAGTTTCTGAACTGTTTGCTATCTTAAGGCAGTGGGTTCCACAAGTCCAGCAGAACATTGATATTATTGGGAATGAGGTGAGGAAGAAATGAAGATCCTCGAAAACTTTCAGTGTTAAAGACATATTATAATAGAGACAATGTTAAAAAACAGTTTATTCAAAAGCAGAACTGATCATGAACGCAGATACTGTTTTTGCCTTTTCGTATATGGTTACTGGTCACTGTCTTGTATTCCAAAGGCTTTCAGTTTTCATTTGGAAAGGCGAAGACAACTGACAAAAATTCAGAACGTTTGGGTAGGTGGTAGAGATGGAATATTTCTTCTCAAAGCATTTATTAGTTTAGATGCTCTCCATCTTGGTATTTCGGTTTTCTACTTAACAGCAATCGTTAAAACTCCGATGCGCAAAGTTACAGTGAAGCCTGACCTTAAGGACAGTAACAGTACTGTTCCAAGTAACAAAATGTGTTAGGACCTGAAATCTTTCTGGGACTTGCAATAGCCTGCTTTTGTAAGATCTGTTGTTTTTTATTAATTCCACCCTATGTTCTTATTTTTTTTCTTCAGATTGCAGGCTTTTCTAGATAGCTAGAGATATGGTAAGCATATTGGATGCTTTTTGAAAAAGTGGTTGACAGATCAAAGAAGGAGGGGAGAGACTTGTTAAGTAATCTTTTTTTTTTTTCTATTGTTCAGTCAAACAGTTAATTTTTCAGCATGTGAAACGTATGTTAAAAGTAACAGTGTAAGGAAGATTTTAAATCTGTGAACAGTGAAGGTTAATCATATCCAGATAATGCTATTTATTGTATTTGTGCGTGTTGCTCAGTTCTGCAGTTAGTGTATTCTGGCAGGCTTCTTTGTTAGTATCCAGTCAAACAAATCCATGTGTCAATATAGCTGAAATAACTTACTGAATAATACTTATGTCAGAGATATGCCAGAGGTAAAATGTGATTGTTCTCCTCCACCACAGATCATTAAAAGAGGTTGCCATGTGAATGACAGAGATGGACTGACTGATATGACTCTCTTGCATTACACTTGCAAATCAGGGGCTCATGGTATTGGTAAGTAAAGACACATCATCAGTACAGATGTTAATTCATACAGCCTAGTTAATTCACAGAGGTGACTCCCACTCTTAACAGGATTTTTTCTTGCAGTAGATTTTTTAGCACATGGTTCTAGGTTTTTTAGTGACCATCAGAAGGGAGGATACAGAAGCGTAGCAAGGTTAGGATTGTGGCAGTTAGGACTACATGGAGTTACAACTGGAAAAAATTACGAGTTACTGGTATTAATGTTGCAAACAATATTACTAGCTTAAAAATATATTTAATGTAGCAAAGGCTGTTTCAAACTGTGAACTGAGTAATCTATAGTTTTCTTAGGTCAGTGAAACTAGATCCTTTAGGTGACTGCATGTTCTTTTTTTTTCACCCTGATCACATCAGAAGGAGACAGGGGTGAAAATAACGTTGCATATAATATGTTTGCGTTATTAAGATCGTAACCACTGGAAAGAACAGCACATTTAACTGTCCTCTTGAGGATCCCTGTTAGGTTTTCTCAGTTACGCTTTTTTTATGTTGATCCTAAACAGGGATCCTGTATTTGAACTGAGTTTCGGAGTGAGGTCTGGCAGAGGTTAGCTTTTCTGGTGGTGGAAGATCTGTTAAAATAAACTTTAGTATTGTGGACTGTCATTTTTTTTTTTTTTTCTCCTGTTTCAAGTACTAATATCCTTGGTTTCGATAGGTGACACGTCATTTACATTGGAGGTAAATAGATAACGTTCATATGTAATGGAGTAGAGATTTCAGCCCTTTATGATAAAAGGCAAAGATTTTTGCACCCTAATTCTAAAAGGAAAGACATCGTATAGTAATTGGTTTTTTGTAGTCTTTAAGGTTTAAAGTGCGTTATAGGTGACATATAAGCATGTGCGTATTGTTTGAGATCATTTAAATAGAGCATATTGTTTGAGATCATGTAAATAAATCTCTAATGCATACATTACAAAATTTGCTTTGCAGGTGATGTTGAAACTGCTGTAAAATTTGCTACACAGCTTATTGATTTGGGTGCTGATAGTAGTTTACGCAGCCGCTGGACAAATATGAATGCATTGCATTATGCTGCTTACTTTGATGTTCCAGAACTTATTAGTGTTATTTTGAAAAATGCAAAGCCAAAAGGTAGGCATTGTTACCTTTGTTTCATGTAGTAGGCTGTATTTTGATCTTCTCTTGATGCCAGGCTGGTGTGTAGTGGTCTTTAAGGGTAGAGTTTGTTTATCTGTTGTACCTAAATAACTTCTAATTTCTTGTTCTTTTAATTAGCTTCATTGCAACGTTTTCTCTTAGTCTGAATTTTTGTGGTGAATGTACTGACTCAGTTGTTTTTTAAAATTGAGAATCTGGAATCAGAGGCTTTGTAGAAAATGAGAGAGAAGCATATAATAGAACAGAAAAGAAACAGGAAAAAATTCTAAGTAGTTGATTGAGGAATAAGAGAATGGATGCAGAAAACTGAAGTTGTAACTATTCCGGTAAATTCTCAGGGTTTTTAAGATACCCTAGTCATTGAGAGGAAATACGTTCGAAATATGAGGAGAAGGAGAAAGGAAAGGTGGAGATGTGGCAGCAACAGATAACTGACTGCTGGCCGAAGCAATTTTGACACGCTCGTTTTTCTCACACCTCACCTATCTGTTTTTTAAAAACAAAATATCTAGAAGGTCATGTCTAGGAAACAGTTTGATTTCAGTGTCTGGCATAAATGAATACCTATATGCCTTTGGAAATGATGATATGAAGAGTTGGTTGTTGAAGTCGTATTTACAGTAATGCAAATGGAAATAGAAATGGTTGTGAATGAGAAAATGAGAAAACCATTTGTTCCTGATTTGGTCTGGATATCAACACCAGTAAGCACATTTTAATAGTAAAACTGTGCAATTATTTGTTTGTTCTGCTGAACACCCTTCTGATTGTGCCATTTGGCAAAATAATTAATGCCCATTTTTGTCTAGCCATATCTAAAGACTTTATCTCAAAACTCTGAAAAGCAGTTCTTTTTTACAGCTTAACATTCTGCTGTTTATCAACATAGATTTTTTGGAATACGCATGGCTTGCTTAACCATGTCTTGAATCGTTACGGAGGTACTTGTTCAGCAAAGCTGCTATTGACTTAACTTTCTTAAGAGGCAACAACCCTAGGTTGGTAACAGAAGGCAAAATATGATTGCACAATAGAAAACCCATATCAAATTTCTATAGTCCAGTTTTCGTGACTTGCACCAGCAGAATAGGTCTTCTTTCAGATCTCATTTGCATTTGTTGTTCTCATCTTCTTCTGTGCAGTGCCTTCAAGAGGGGCAGGGTTTTGCTCAGAATTTGAAGGAAACTAGTCTGATCAAATGCCTTACCAGTTGGCAACTCCTGGATAAGTAACTAGAACAGATAATTGTTTTTATCTCAAAATATATGTAAAATGTCTCGCTCTGCCTGTGGCATTGAAACATCTGGTGGTTTGAATTAATAGAAAGAATAATCTGAACTTCGTTCTTCATCAGGCAGTTTGCAGAGCAGGAAGGATATATGTAGAAGGCAAATACACCTTGGATGGATCTATACTGACATGGAGAAAAAATAGTTGTTAATGTGTGTGTAACTTTTGAGCCAGTGGTATACTGACTCTGAGACACCCGTCATCAGACTGCTGGTACCACAGATGTTTTCTTTGGATTTACTGCTTAACTATTTCCTTTATGAAGTTTTGCAGTTCAATTTTTTGTGTAGGTGTACTCTTCAATTGTTAAAATAGAGAGCTAGTTTGATCTTAGATTTTTAATATTTTTAAATATAAAAATCGTTGAGCCTTGAGGAATGAGAAATGTTGTGTGGTGCTATTATACAATGACTGTAAGCCATATGGATTGTTAATGACAAACTACTGCTTCATATTAAGTTCCCCTCAGATAGTTTGAAGGTAGTTATTCCCTTAACAGAATTGAATAGGTTACCTGACTAAGATGCCAGATAAATTTAGCATTTCATATATATGTGTTTCTTTCTGTCATCTGTATTATGCAAACTTAGTCCTAGAAAAATGCTGTAGACAATAGTGTTCAAAAACTCCAAGCATGAAGCTTGCAAGTCTGAGGAAGTGACAGTAGTCTAATTAAAAAAAAAAAAAATCCACAAAGACATCAGCGTCTTTTTAGAATAAAGGGTAGTGAGTACATGCAGCTGTTGCTGACTCAGTAGCTGATGTTATTGATCAATATTTCTGAAAATCAGTTCATAGATATGTAGAAAATACCCAGTTGATGGCCTTATTAAATATGGAAATTTCAGTGGCTGTAAGCCATTGAAACCGTCTTCTACCCAATTTTAAACTGGTAATGGTCTTTTGACATTTTACATATAAAGGGATCTTCTGCATTCATAGCTGAGGTAGTGTTAACATCATGCAATGCAGTCTTCTGTCATGTATGAGCCAGTTAATTTTAGAATTACTAAATTGGTGTTCCCATTGGTGCACTTGCACGACTGTCAAAACGTGATCCAAAGTTTGTTATTTTTGATCTCTTTAAATCCTGAATATGTCTTTATCAGTACGTATAAAGTTGATATATATCTTCTATATCAGTATAGCTATGTAAGACTGTTGATGCAGTAGGAATATACTTTTTTATCACTTTGTGAGAAGGCCTAGTGTTTTTCTGGGACAGAGACTGTAACTGGCAAATACTAAGAGACTCTACTGCCCAGGGATGGAAAGTTTTATGTTCCTGGCCAGTATTTCAAATCTAAGTGTTACTGCTAATATTTGTAGGCTTTTGATGTGTATATGAAATCAGTTGCTGTTTTTAGTGAATGGTCATATACATGATTGACCCTAACTGACGTCTCTTTTGTGTGCTTTAGGAGAAGAGCTCAAGAGTAAACAGACTTTAAAACTGAAATCTTCCAGAACAGTAATAACTTCATAACAGGCTGAAGCATATTTTGGGAAAACCTGTCAATCAATGGAAACATATAACAGACTGAAAGTGTTTCAGTCAAATGCAGTACTACATTTTACAAACCGTCAGTCCAAGACCCTTCTCAGTTTAGTTCTTTGGAAACAGCATTTTAAAAAATTGCTAGCACTTACTTCATTCTTGGTCATTAGTAATGAAGGCAGTATAAAGCAGAGGTAGAATCAGTTTCCTCTTGCCCCATTACCTGCTCACAAAGGGAAAGGACTTGTTGAAAACATATTTTATTTTATATAGATGGTATAAATATGAATCTGAAATGTTATTAATTTACACACAAGCCTGCAGTTGCAAACTTTTTAATTTTAGCACAGTAGATGGGGCATTGTACTAAGCAACAATTTGACAGCTAAGTCACCAGTATTATAAAAATGAATGAAAATAAATGAGTACAGAACTGAGTACAGAAAATACTAATTTTCTGTATTAGTTTATGATATGAATAGACAGATACAGTTAGGGGGGTTGTTCTAGGTAGAGTCACTTCTCATCTGCGTTCAGTTTACAATTAATGGTGCCTTTGTATAAACATTAACATAAAACATAAACATAAATGTCCTGTGAAGGAATGTGTTGGGTGAAATGTTCTCAAGTGACAGATTTACATCCCTCATCTGTGATGCTTAATTGTAGATGTGGATGCCACCTGCAGTGACTTTGATTTTGGAACAGCTTTGCATATCGCTGCATTTAACCTATGTACAGGATCTGTCAAGTGTTTACTGGAACATGGAGCAAATCCTGCCTTTAGGGTAAGGTGTTAGATTACAGATACAGTGAAAGGCTAATAATTAATTGGTTTGATTATCTGGGAAAGAAACAGCTGGAAGAGTGGAACAGTGTTTCAGGGTTTTGGTTAGCTAGAACATATTTATACGCAGTGTCTCTGAAAAGTTATTTGTAATTTGTAGTGGATGATTTTGTCTGCTGTGTCATATTTGTGTGTTACAGTTTGTGTTTTCATGTCATGGTCCAGCTAATTAATTTAAATAGCTGTCAAGATGCTCTTTTTATTTGTTACCTGAATTTTTAATTAATGCTCCTGTGTGTCTTGCAACACGGAGGCGGACCTTTCAGAAATACAGGAGTGCATTCTGTGACCTCCAGAAATGCAGTAGTAATCTCAGTCTTAGTGTAAATAACTGATAATGGAGAAACATTAACTGCTCCACTTACTAACCAGATGATAGCCCTGAGTTGCAGTGTAAAATGCTGCTGTAGGTGTCTAGGCACAAATCTTGTTTGATTTTTGTAGTGTAGGCAGTATGTCAGTTCTCCATTTCAAATTCAGTCTTTTTAATGAGAAATTATAACTGCTTTAATGGTACTTAAAAGTTCTTATTTTATGTACCAGTGATGACGTGAAATCTTCTGGAACATCGTTTTTCAGCCACTTCTGCATGATATTCAGTGAAGATTTCTTTGAAAATTGTGTTTGTCATCTTTGCCCCATTATGAAGCGTTCATGTATCTGTTCCAAACTGTATGGCACCTGTATTTTAAGAGTCGATTGTTACAGGAAGTACTATCGTTGTAGTTCCACAGACATTGTGATGTGGCATGAAGTTGGTTCTGCCATTGAAAAAAGCAGTCCTGTACGTCTGCCCACTCTTGCCTGCTTCTTCTTGCCTCTGCTCTGCCCCCCTACCTGTGTCACGCTGCAGGGCTGCTGTGACACAAACCATAGCTGCTGTGATGATTGCAAACTCAATAACAAACACCCCACCCAACCTTAACCCAGCCCTATCTTATTTTTAAGGTACGCTGACTTGAATGGGGCTGTCTTTTTGCTTACAGAATCGCTGTAGATTTGTAAAGAATGGTAGTTGTTTAAATCTTCAATACTGCAATAAAACTTTGACCAGAGACAGTGTGTAGAGTTTGCTTATTTGAGGACAGCAGAGTGAAAGTGCTGAATCAGGATTGCAATTTTCCAGGATTGACACAGGGAGACTTTATAGGGAGCCCAGAAAAGGTTGAGCTTTTAGTCTGTTTTTAAGTAAACAAAACATACATCATCTTGTCTGTCATTCGCTCTTCTCTTTGAGCTCCCAGGAATTTCCGAATACAATGGGGCAGTTCAGACAAATTTGGAAGAATTTGAGATAATTATGTTTCCACAGACTTTATAAAAATTGGCAGATGGCAGAAGGTCTTTACTAAGGCTTTCAGCAACGAAAGTGTGGGTAGAACTTGTAGCAGCTGGACAGCCCAACAGTGTATTTGCTGTCTGGGCGGTTACTGAGTTAGGGTTAAGTGCCAACCAGCCAGAACTCTACTGCTGCTGGCCTAGGGCAAGTGTCATGTGGGATGTATGGGGCGCTGCAGTTACTGCCCTGTGGTAAGGGGAAGAGTTTGGACGCTAAGAACTTTTTGTCCTCGTGGAATTCATTCTTATGGAATAGTCTATATGTAAATAAACATGAACCACTTTATTCAAGTATTTATTAGAGACACCATCTTTATTTGCTGTATATATTAATAAAAGTGTATCTTATATTTGAAATAAGCCAATAAGCCTCACCAAAGCTTAAACTATGCACTGGGAAGAGATAAATTCTTTGGGAGGTGTTAACCCTACTTTTTAAATTGGTGTTATAGACCAGAATTCTTGCTTACTTTTCCGAATCTGTGATCAGGTACACAGATATAAACTTTTTTTTTTGTTTAATATGTCTTGCGTACTAAGAATGTTCTTAAGATTAAAAATGTTGGGGTCTTAGCACCTTTGAAATTAGGATGGTATAAATGTTAATTTATGTGTCTAATCTTTTGGCACCCATATTTCAAAACGTGGATGTTTTTATACTTGTTTATATTCTATGGAAAATATCTAAAGAAGATGATTTAATACTTCATAAACTGTTATTTTTTGCCTAATCGGGTTTATCTCGTCATAGCGTTAAATCCTGTCCTGTGTTACGTTTCTGCAGAATGACAAAGGGCAGATTCCAGCAGATGTGGTTCCTGATCCAGTAGATATGCCACTGGAAATGGCAGATGCAGCAGCCAGTGCAAAAGAAATCAAGCAGATATTGCTGGATGCAGTGCCTCTCTCATGTGACATCTCAAAAGCCATGATTCCAAACTATGATCATATCACGGGCAAGGCCCTGCTTTTATCACTTGGCCTAAAACTGGGAGATCGTGTTGTTATTGCAGGACAGAAGGTATGATGGGTAAATTGATGCTACCCTCATAATTTCTGGACAGGAAATGTGTTTGACCCTTTGGAAACATATTGAAAATTTGAAGGTCTAAAACGTTTTCTGGAGGGTATGAACTCTGGAGGGCAGTGAGGATCTGGTTACAGAAAGCCTTTTAGTAAGGATGGTACGTGCTGAAGTCTTTCACTAGTATCAAAAGCTGTTTTGGCAGGTAAGGTCTGCATTTTGCTCTGCAAATGATTTTTTAATAGCCCATTACAATGCATAAGCATGGCTTAGTTTTCATTAACTTTTTAGCTATCACTCCAAAACGATGATAAAATTTACAGAGCGCTTTGTGAGTTGCCCAGCTTTCAACATTACAAGTATGCGTTCGTGAGTTACCCGTGTTAGTTTCCAGAAGGCAGGAAAAGAAAAAACTTAATCCTGCTTAGCCTGTAGTAACCCAGTTTCACTGGTGCAATGCAGCTAAAATCCTTGAAGCAGCTGTGTGCCAAAGGGATTGCTATATGGTTCTGCAGAAGTGTTAATACAGGTCTAGCTCAAATTTGAATACCTTTTAAGAAGCTAACTTGCTAAGACGTATTTAAAAAACCGTATTTGAAAAATGTTACATTGGTATTATTGCAGTTAGTGTTTACATCTTTTATTTGCTTTCAAAGCATGACTTTGAAATGATTTAGGAGTGCTAGTATTTTTTTTTCTTGAAGATTTCAGATATATTTCTGGCAAGTATTGAAGGCATTTGCAAGCAAAATTCTATGTTTGCATAGCAATGTGTGCCTTTAAGCATTTTTCTAATGTAACTCCAGGTTTGTACTTACTACAATTAAAGTGAACTCCCCTGAGAGTCCAAAGCAGTCCATTATGTATTGTTATTTGGTGTGCTCTTTACACAGGGTCAGGAAAAGGGAAGGAATCACTAGCTATGCAGAAGGCATGTTAACTGGAATATGTACAAAGCAAGGGGAGCTAATAATTAGCTACAAGTTAATAAAGGCTATATAGCAAGAAAGGGAAGAAGTTAGTACTTCTGTGCATTTCACCTCCAAGAGCGAGCCTTTAGTACCGTTGTACTATCGTGTGCTTGCTGTATATCAGTGAAGTTTTCTGAGTTTAGTGGCTTTTTTTTTTTTTTTTCCTTGGTAAGAATCTACTATAACAATGTTTCCTCCTCCCTGTTCACACTCATAAATGTGTGCAGGGTGGAGTAAATGTGAGGACAGGATGATCAAAATGGTACCCAGTTCTTCACCTTGGATCATTTCTCGCTTCTGGAGAACATAGAAACTGGAAGGAGGGTACTGAACAGCAGCACTGAGCGGAGTTTATGGATACCTGTTCTCTTTCCTGCTTCTGCAGTCTCCTAACATACAGCTTTAAGGCAGCTGGAATGAGAGCCAAGCCTGGTAGATGCTGGAGGGAAAATGGATAGTACTTTCCTCTCCTGATTCCAACTTCAGGTGCCATTCTAGTTGTTTTATAGGGTAGAAATCTATATAAGCAGGGCTGTATATGTATGTGATTTGGGGTTGCTCAGCTTCATCTGCTTCTACTTTGGTAGATGATATGTTATCTGAAAGGAGACTCAGTGAACTGGGGTTGCAGGGAAACCAATAGCTGGGAGTTCTTTTCTTTAGCTCTTTTCTCTGGTTTCTACCATACTTCCCACGCCCTAGATGTGACATGTCAGGGGATCGTAGCAACTTTTGAAAGAAAGGAGCAGAGGAGTTTGGAGCCCCAGCTTTACTATCTCCTCCTCCCTTTGCTCAGTAAGAGCTCTTTGGATGGTGCCTGGAGCGCGGAGGAATCTGGTAGGCCACTCGCCTAGCTTCCGCAGGCTGAATTCCATCTGTGGCTTGGCAGCCGAAACGTCTGGGTGTGGATCAGTGTCATATACCTGCCTGCCTGTATGTTCTTTAGAGAACATTAAAAAAGCGAAGCTGAAGGGTTTTTATAGTAGAGAAAAAATATTTTCTGTCTGCTTATTCTTTTTCTGAAGGCTGGATTAGACGGTGAAAACATAGTAAAAAATAAACTAGTAGTATTAAGGTCACATGAGACAGTGAAAACTGAGCAACTGAGAGACAAAAAGCTTTCATTAGGAAAAACTAACTTAAAAATCAGATTAAAAAATTTAATTTAAATCAAATGTTAAATGTATCTCCGCTAGTTATTCCTCTCACATTTGATTGAAGTGCATAAGCCTGTAACGTGGAGATTGAGTTCCACCAGCAAGACTGGTCTGTCTTGATTTTCTTGATTTTTCTGATCTGTTCGGAGTCTACATAATATATATTAAAACAGCAGCAGAATGCATAAAACATTTATTGGATTTTTAAATTTTGTTTAATCATAATGAGGGAATAAAAGACTTAACAAAACTTTTTCAAAGAAAACCTTAAGTCTTCTCTGAGGGCAGTGTTTACTCTTTAATCTCTGCGCCCTGTGTGTGTGCATATATATATGCGTATATAAATATATTTATAGAATTTAAAATCTAGTATTTCAATGGACTCTCCAGTTCAGCAAGATGTTATATCACTTTTCCCTCAGTATCCTCATGGAAGACAGTGAAAATAAAACATGTATGCCTAGGCATACATGTACTGCTGCGCCTTTCTGATTTGGAGTTGTATTGTACAGTGGTGCTTACTGTCTAATTCTTGTTTGTTATGAGAGCTGTCAATAACCACTGCTTTAGTTCAATATAAAATTTACACAAAAGGACTAGTATGTCTTGGAAAACGCATTAGCTGGCCTTGAAAGAAAGGGAGGTCAGTAGTCAGGAGACTATTATGTTTGCGTTTCCCTGTCTGTTCTGATCAAAAACTTGGAGGTGACTTACTGTCTCCTTCAAGATCTATGTTATATTCTTGTGAGCAATACTTGTTTAACAAAGTCGTTCTACATTGATACTTTTTGCTTTAGGTTGGTACATTAAGATTTTGCGGCACAACTGAATTTGCCAGTGGCCAGTGGGCTGGCATAGAACTAGATGAACCAGAAGGAAAGAACAACGGAAGTGTTGGAAAAGTGCAGTACTTCAAGTGCGCACCAAAACGCGGTATAACCTTTATATTTTTTATAAGGCTTACATTTTTTTTATAATCTGAATTTTGAAAAAGATGTATGAGAAGATAAGACCCCTTTGGAAGAAAACGTACAGAAAACTAATTCTGGTGCTTTTCCTTGCAGTGCTTAGTTTGTTTTATTCATTCTTTTAACTATTCCTAATTTTTTGGCTGTTTGCAAAAAACAAAACAAAACAAAACACCCAAACCAGTCAAAATTTCTGATAATTCCTTGAAGCTGAGATAGTAATCTTTCCTGTTTTTCTATCTGTATCATTGAAGCTATATGTTTTTCTTGTAACAGTAGTGGCAGTGTTTCTTTACTTGCTTTGCCTTCTTTTTTGTTAGACAACATAGTTGCATATAGTTGCATATAGTTGCTTTAAACTCCCAGCCTGAGCCTCAAAAGAATTTAATCTGGTTGTCTTTGGTTTATAAAATTCACATGTATGTATCATTTTCATTGATATTTCATTAACACTCATGATGCACAAGATCTTGTATTTTGTAACAATGGAGACAGAATGCTACCATTGGGGTAAAAAGGAGATTCTAATAGATAGTTTTACTGACTTTCTGGGTTACTTTGGTCCAGTTGTTTCGTATATCTTTTAGTGTTACTGTTCCATTTGAGCTAGAACTTCCTGTGTTACAAGTGGTTTGGGAGCGCAGCAAGCCATGGTCATGGCTGAAAAAATACCTAGATTAATTGATCTAAGAGATAGCAGTCAGTTTTGTCATATTAATATTGTCCCTGGTTCTCTTCTGGCATATATAATTTTCTCTCCAGGTATCTTTGCACCTCTTTCTAAAATAAGCAAGACTTCTGATCACAAAAAAAGCTCTGTACGAAGTTCTTCCATGCGGTCTTCACCTTTGGTTAAATCCAAGAAAATAGATGTGACCCATGTAACTTCCAAAGTGAATTCTGGTGAGTGTTTTCGTGTATATCGAGACAGGATAGAGAGATACTCATCTTCAAGAATTAGCACCAATCCTGTAAAACTTGCTTGGAATTAGTCATCACTTGGTATGAGAAGGTAATAAGATCGTTAGTAACTAAATATTCTTATTAATGGAAGTTAACTAACCTTTAAATTGGTACTGCTAGGATATTGTGCATAGTTGTCCCGTCCTTACAGGAACAGCCTCTTTGCACAATTACGGTCTGAATTTTCTGTTTTATGTTACTTGCTCTACAAGTCAGGTATGCTATGCCAGTTTCTGTGTTTCTCAGTAACTCTGCATAAGCAGGTAACTCTGCTCAGGTGAGGTATGTGGTCAAACAAACCTTCGACCAGTTCTGCTAAAATTATGATGCTTTTGTCTGAGTCTCAGCCATCGTGAAGCTGAGCCAGGGAAACTCAAACTTTTTCCGAGATGTTAGTTATAGTGATCTGATACGCTGTGAGGGGTCTTTATATACTATATGAGAAAATTCACCGCAGCATTTATTCTCAACTTTAAAGTAATTTCTGACTAGCTGTGATATCAGTCAAATGTCTAAAACTGTGTGGTTTCATTTACTAAGATCTTCCTGAGTAATTGAAAGATCTCGCTAAGATCAGTGAAAATGTAGACATTTACGTGTATACAACTTTATGTTTAGTAAATGATTAAATTTAATTTATTTTCTGGCAAAATGATTAAGGAGCTGTTTGATTAATTGTGTTCTATCTGCTAATTAATTTGTCTGACCGAAATCAGAAGCAAATTAGAAAGGGATGGATGTGCTTGTAATAAGGTCTTAGTCTACTGATTGAAGCTATAGGCTCAGTCCCTGGCTCCTTTTCAGACTCTTAGTAATTTATTCAAATTACGAAATCCTTCTATTTATTAGTTCCCTACCTGCATAGTAAGGATGATGCATCTTTTCTCATCTGTTCAGCTTGTAAGGTGTTTGGAGCATTGACTCTTTCCTGCTGTGTGCGTGTACAGTGCCCACTAGGCATCATTTGGCTCTGTGTCTGGCTATCTAAATAATGATGTCATTAAATATATTACATTAGCATTTATTTTGCTTTTTGAATCCTGCTTTGATGACTCATACTAAGGCAACACAGCTTAAGGGATGAAAGGATATACATGCCTTCTCAACAAGTTTGCTTAAGTGCCCTAAAACATTCCACTCTTTACCAGTAATATGCAGCATATAGAAATAACGTGACAGGCTGGCAGAAGGGATGCGTAGTGCATTTTGGCAGCGTTGTGGATGGTTGATGTAACTCTTCTCTATATAGCTTGAGAAGGAAGCAAGCCGTAATCATATGTATTTACAAATAGCACAAGAGTTAAGCTATTTAAAAACCAATGTCCTGTAAAAAGTGCTTCTCAGAATAATTAGCTTGTTCGCAGTACTGCTCAGGAGCAGATCTAAACTGATTTTTCTGCTTGATATTTTTCAGTGTTTGATCCAGTTTATTTTGAAGTGTTTAGAAATTGTTAAACTAATGGAAAAAAGCGTTTCGTTTGTCACAGGCAGTGTGTTCAGGATAGTTCAACGATAAACCACCTTTTCTGTCACAAAGGCGCACGACTGTCTGTGTAAATTTGATACTTGTTTTAGGTAAAAAAAAAAAAAAAAAAAAAAAAAGGGAAAAGGTAAAAAAAAAAAAAAAAAAAATGCATCGTCTACCCAACAGAGCTTACATCCAAACCCAGATATCTTCAAGCTGCCATTTATAAGATGTTCTTGTGCTGAAATGTCTATTACTCTTAATGTGCCAGGCTGATTCACTGGCTGGAGTGGGAGGATAAAGCAAAACTTTGTTTTCAGCGTTTATATGCATCACCAGATTAAATTTCTTCTTTCCTGGGAACTTCATTCCTGCAGTACTCTGGTTTGGAATGATCCAAGAAAAATAATTCATACACTTTTTGTAGATATGGTTATAAGCTGCAAAATCAAATTTACTTATGATACTCTATAGAGATTGTAAAATTTGATTTGTTTCTACTCGGTTTGAATAATCTATGAGATTCAATTGATGATGATGGTTCTTTTTCAGGTTTTTAGAAAAAGGATTACTGTGATCAAAATGAGAAATGTGTTACCAGTCATGAACACTGTTTTTTTTTGTTCTGATGCTTCCATGGATGAAATATAAAATCTTTCGAAAATAGAATACACTTGCAAACTTGTTTTTTATTTAGTTTCTGTAGCTGAATTAAGCTGAGAGATATAGTTAAATAAAAAGTGATTTTTTTCATAATGGACAGGGGGAAATCATAGATAAGTTTCTTCTTTATTGAGTTAGGGTAGAAAACAGTTAGAAATGCAAAATGACTGTTCATGAATTGTAACTCAGATGGCGATATTAGTTCATATGCTTATCGCAACACTGCGGCTGTAAGAGTTAGGCTTTTTACTTAAAACTGGTGCCATACTTCATCATTCGTAGCTTGAATACAGATTAGGTCTCAAGACTTTGGTTTTATATGTAATCTGTAGTGCAGAAATTATGGTCAATAATATACTAGTATTGACTGACTAGTCAATAGTATACTTTAAGTAGTAAAAGTATTTTTTTGTGTTGTGTCGATAATAAATGTAAATATTTGAAAGATTTAACTTAAACTGCTTCAATATAACATTAATATTTGGAAAATGACTTTTTTTTATAGTATGGCCAGATTGTTTGGACCATTTTAAGTTGTCAGTGGTTTTAACCTCTGCTGATCTATTAGAATAAATCTGACATATTGTTTTACCCACTTATGTGGAGTCTAAGGAACGTGGCAGTTACAATCGAATGTCCTAGGTTCTGTGAGTTTGAGTGCACACAGGTATCGTCGTAGGAAATCGGTGAAGAGGAGGGAGAAATACAATGGCTGTGGTTTGCCAATGGTGTCCACACGAGATATCAAATGAGTAAAAACAACAAGTAGGAGTGCATGCTATACTATACTATGTACTAATATATACCACTGTCTTTTCTAAAGATTGCAATCATCTGTCATGTGTGAAGCACAGTGAAACTGAAACTGAGTGGAAATGACTTGATTTATCCAGTAATTTACAAATCTGTTAAATTGTTTTCAATCGTCAGGACAGACGTATTTGTCTCCTTTTTTTTTTTTTTTTTTTTTTTTTTTTAATTCTAGGCCTAGCTACACTGAAAAAAGACAGTGGTTCTGAAACCACCTTTATGACTGCGGAGAGGGGAAAAACTGTACCTGCAAAAGAAGGTAACTACCTTTATTTTTGTTTTTTAACATCTTGTGAAAATTTTTGGGTGAGGCAGAGGGAGTACTATTGCTGCCTTCCCTCCTTGAAAGCCCTGCGTCTATGATATAAAAACAGTTGTCTGCCTATATTCAAGTTTCGAGCACATTAGTTCATAGTATACGTTAGTTTACTAGGAGCAAGAGTAATTTCCACGGACATTTGGCAAGCTATATTGCCTGGGTAATAATCTTACCAATTGCCATGTACAAATACATGGGCAATAATAAAGACAAGCACCTAAAGCTGAAAGCTGTCTTGTAATAAATGTTTTTACAGAGGGTCTGCCTTCTTACGATCATAGAGAGGGTCTCACCTGCCCGTGTTTCTGAGGGAGACCTTTTGCTCTATATCACTGCTGCACATATTTTGATGGGAGAACTATGTACATGTTCTGTTGGAATTTCTGTTCTCTCCTGCTACTTGCATGTTTGAGCTTTGTATAATAAAGTATTATGATCTTACAGCACTTAGCAATCTTGTCATTGTATCATGTAAGACGCATAGTAACAAGCTCCAAATATTTAAAAAAAAAAGAAATTCTAGGTTTTTTTTTTTTTTTTTAGCCTGCTTTTAAATATGCAGAATCATTCTCTGTAATTATCTGGTTTCAGAATTGGATAGTGACTTCTGCGGCATCAGTTTTTGTGTGCTGAACCCAAAACATAAAGGGACCTGACTTTCAGGGATGTCTTTGACATACTGTAAAAATCAGGTTTATTTTGAGGTTTCCTCTATAAAATCATATTGCAAGTGTTTGTAAAAGCAGTATTTCTCTGAAGTAATTTCAAGTATGACTTTGAATATTCTCTTTTTGAAGAAAAGCATCTTTTTATATCCTTGCTCAGTGAACAGTTTTGAGGAAGAGACTTGGGGAAGAGTGTAGGGTAAGATATTCAAGCACTGCCTTACGTGACGCTTTCTCAGAAGTGAGCTAAAATACTCTTTGTGCAGACAGAGGTTTCCAGTGCATTGTTCGTGGAGGACACTTAAAGGTTTGGTCTTCAGGTTGCTGGTCACATAATGAAATTAATTTGTGGTACAGTGTCTTAGTTTTGTGGCTATAATACGATAGAGACAATTAAAAGGAGTCCAAAGGCTTTGCAGGTGTAACTGATGTGGATGTAAGCCTTGCTTTGGGATTTAGCCGTTTAGATGATACTTCTGTAAGGCGAGTGCAGAACTGCTGGGAAATCCAACTTAGAAAGTAGCTGTCAGTAGTTCTTTGTCAAACTGGAAGGCTAGTTCAGCTCAGGAGTTTGTGCCGAGGCTGATAATTTTTTGATCCACAGTTAAGACACTGGGAACCGAGAGCCTGGCCACTAAATATGCAGGTGATGTCTGTTAGATAGTTGAGAGGATTCATATTAAAAAAAAGAATAGCAACCTTGACAAATTGGAAAAAATTTTCTAGGGGGAAAAAGATGCAGAGGTATAAGGACAACCGCACAGTTCTGTAGCGAGGTGGGAACAATCAGTTCTATAAAAACACATAGGGAATGATATGCTGGGTAATAGTTTTGTAGGCATGGACCTGGGGTTGTTGAGTATTGCAAGGTGAAAATGAGTCATCAGTGTCATACTGTTGCAAAAAGGGGAAACATATGGGTATACATAAAAAGGAGCAACTGCCAGGAGATATACAAAGTAACCTGGATGCTTTACTTGGCACAACTGATGCTTTAGCTAAAGCACTGTGTCTAGTTTTAGGCATTGCATTTCAAAAAAGATGTGAACCACCTGCAGAGAATTCAGAGAAGACACTACAATAATTAGAAATATAAAAAAACATGACATATGAGAAAAGACTAATGGAACAAGAAAAGACTAATGGAATTTGTGATTGTATGGTTAAAAGGACAGAAGACTGAGAGATAAAGCAGGAAGCTTTCAAATACAAGGAAAAATGTAATCCATTCTGCATGTGTAAAGAGGGTAAGAGGATAAGACAAGAAATCTAAAACTGCAGTAATTTAGATTTAATATTTGGAGGGAAAAAAACTGTAACAGTATAGATAATTATGTGATGAAATATTTTGCTGGGAAAGTCCTAAGATCTCCCTGATGGGAGGTTTTTAAGAACAGGTCAAATGCTCATCTGTCAGGAATGATCAAACAATTGTTGTTTTTGCCTGATGGCAGAAGAATGGACCTGCTGAGGTCCCACCCATGATTCCCCATAAACGAAGCATCTCAAAGATGGGCTTAGTTTTCTGTACTGCTGTACCAGCAATTTTTGTTCACTTTATGTAAAGATGCTAGGTGGTCTGACCGCTAATGAATCTGTCTAATCTGACTTCCAAATATAGAATGCTAGTGCGTGCCTGCACATACACATGTATTTTTATACCTTGGACTAGGAGTTGAATTTTGCCTATTCAAGTCACCATTTTTTTTAGTAGTTTGCATTGTCTTTGTTGTAACATAGCTGCAGCCAGTATTTTAATTTTAGAGTCTTCAGATTTTTGTTCTCTGCCTCCAGATACCCAAGTTTTTGCTATGACCTACAGGCTCTTTGCCATTCTTTACTTTTTTTCCAAATTGGAGGATTAAATTATATTAATATTGAATCCTTCTTATCACTAACCCAGTGTTGATCTCAAGGTGCTTTGCAAAACTAATGAATTAAGCCTCTCGGCATTCTGGAAAGTCTGATAAATAGCGTTATCTTAATTTCTCACACTGAGTAACTGAGGCATAGAACATAACTTGTCTCCCTGCACCTTGCTTGTTTTGGGCAAAAGGGCAGGGAAGAGAGGGGATTGAGAAGAGACTGGAAACGGAAGGAGGAAAGCTGGGCATCAGTCTTACTGGACAGCTTAGACATCAGGGTTTGCAAATGGAGATAAAAGTGATGTATTTCCCATTCTTATTTTATAGCACAGATTTTAATATTAATACCGTATGTAATAGAATATGGTAGACTTTCATCCACACAATAATTCACTCGCATATTATCACCTTCCTTCCATTTCTCATCAAATTTTTAATAAAGTGGCTGCTGAAAGAGAGGTGGTAAGATCTCCTGTTATCAAAACTCCCATATTTTAACAAATACTCTTGGGACTGTTTGCAAAAACTGTCATAGAATAACAGATATAATTCTGGAAGAAGTCTCTAAAAGCCCCGAACTATCACCTTATTCCCGAGGCAGGGTCAGGCATACCTGTGTCATTCAGATGTTTGTGTAAACTAAACCTCCGATTTTTTGGCCCTTTTGTATCCTACCCACTGTAAAGAAGAGATAAGGTCCTTACAGAAGCTTTCCCTTCTGCTTAATTTGTTCTTTCCTGAATACAATCTCTGAAAGACTATTTCCATTTATGTCTTTCAGCCTTTCTTGGATCCAGCAGCTCTTCCTCTTCTACTACCTCCTTAGAAGGCAAACAGAGCTATTCCAAAAAACGGAACTCAACTAGCAGCAATAAAAGGGCAGTCATTAGAGCAGTTTCTGCCTCATCTAAAATTAGTGCTGGTATTTTTTTGTTTTATGAAGGCGTATCTTCACAGGTGGAAGTTTACTGTTGTATTGAATACTAATATAGGACTACTTGTGTTGTTTCAGAATTTGAGCGGGTTCAAAAAAAGGCACTTGCAAAGTAGTTAATCCATAAACTTAAGTTTTCTAACTTTTTAATAAAGTTTTTTAGAACATCTTCAAGCAGAAAAATGCTGCTATAGTCTCTCGCTATACTTTTCAACTGCAGAGGAAAGGCTGTAGTCCACAATTTTCATGCTGAAGCAAAGCAATTCTGTGTCTAAACAAAACGTGCAGCACGTTGCCATATGTTTAAGTTTGCACTGTGTCAAAGGTAGATACTCCATTTGACCAGTCAGTTGTCTCTCTAGCTATTAAGACCTTCTTGAATTTTAAAGATAAAATTTCACTAATTTGAGATCTTCTTCTTCTTCTTCAGCTACAAGGAAAAATCCTTCTGATGAGAGAGAAATTCAGCTTGGAGACAGAGTACTGGTGGTAGGACAGAGAACAGGCACTGTTAGATTCTATGGCACAACAAAATTTGCACCAGGTAGTTGCACAGTCTTTGTGTATGTTGTAGAATTAGTATTGAATAGCTTGCATGTGAGGACGTGAACACTATGACAATACCATCTTTTACCTCACTCCCTCCAAAGAAGCTCTGCTGGTTCATGCTGAAGTTCTCTCTGTGTCCTTTGTTTCACTGAATATTTTTTTACTTTAATTCAAAACTGCAAAGAAAAAATAATGGTTTCAAATGTGACTTTTACTGTCCATTTATGTCATTCAACTAGGAGAAATATTTTGATGTTGAAATTGTAGATATTGTTACAAAGCTTTCAGAAAATCCTCATTTTAGTCTCCAGAGTGATGTATAGTTTGTTGAGATCACATGCCTTTACTTCTGAACTTCCATCTGCAGCCTTTTTGATTCAGCTTATCTCTTGCAGTATCATATCTTACCCTATCAGATACCTGTCTCAGTTTTATCTTGTGAGTTTCTTTAAGAGGGTAATTGTGAACATTTCAATCTTAACTGATTTCAGACTGACAAACCTTTAGGTCACAGGACAGATGGAAAGTTACAAGTATCTCAAAAACACCGCCAAAGCCTTCTTTTTCATAATTCTCCTCCCCTGCTCCTTTCTAAAAAACACATTGCAATGAATCCAGGAGTTTTTAAACAGAAATGAGTTGTTCTAAATGACAGAAACTGTAATTTCTGAATAATCCTCCTTTCTAACCAAATTACTTCTGTGTGTTTTCTGTCCTTACCTATAATCTTAAAATTGCAAGGTTAATGCAAAAACAGCTGGTAAGTGCTGGTGTTGGGTAAGAAGATTAGCCTTTTCACACTGAATCTGGTTTAAGTCAAGTCTGCTTGATTGGTATGTAAATGGCAATACCCTGTCTTGACACTTGGTGGCGTCAATATTTAAAAAAAAATGTTAAGTTAGAATGCAAGATTGCAGAACGAGCTATATGTATTTTTTTTAATTCTTCCCATTTCCCCAATCTCATTTTAGGGAGTCCTTGCTTAAGATAACTTAGTAAGCAACAACATGAAGGAAAAGCTGGTCACATGAAAGTGTAAAATTATATTATAGGAGTTAACTGAGAAAAGAACTGTTTTTCTACTATAGCAAGTGTAAAATCAGTAGGCTATTTGACGGTTTAAATCTCCTCCCTTTCTCCCTCAAATTAGGGAAGGAAATTTTTTTAGGTAAAACAAGGTGTTTTAAGAAGTGAGAATGGAAAGACTGCAACTCTGCACCATTTGCAAAACCAGTCATTTATGGAAAACGTTAACAGTAGCATTTTTAAGTATTGCTATTTTAAAATGCATCAAAGCTCTGGGAAGTTGCCAAAACTTTATTTCCTATTCATTTTGCTGCAATGCAGATCTTTCTTTAATTCTGAAAACAGGAAAGGGAGAACTTCTGACATACTGAGCCCTTCTAATTCGTAAGTCGTCATTCTTGAGTTTCTTGAGCTGATAATTAGTACTACCATTATATCCACTGCCCTAGTACCGAGTGACCTGAATTAAATTTCAAATCTTCCGGGGATGGATAGCATAAGGACTACTAATGGAGTATGAAATTTAGCACCTTTACATAATTAGCTTCCATTTATCACAGATTATGAATGATCAAACTTATTAACATCTTGATGCCTATTCAGTGTTCTGTATGAGATGAGCTGCTGCCCAGTTCTGAAGCTTACACTCTTCTCTCAGTATCATATAGTCGGCCTTGCAAATTGTATTCATTATTATTTACTAGCTGGAGAAAATGAATGAATTAATATCAAAACTTTAGTGTTGATGATCTCAGATGAGGCATAAACCATGGGGTCAGAGGACTGGAGAGGGGAAACTTGAACCATTATTACTGTTTGCTCATGTCTCCCTTTTGTCAAATAGCCACTGTTACATTCAGTGATATTCCTTTCAGCTTCAAGATGAACATCAAAGGTTTTAACTTTTCTGTATTAATTAAAATGTCATTACTTTTTAAAAACATTTATATATGTATAAAAATGCTAATTATCTTTAGATTTATTCTGATATATACATTTAGCACAGTTATTTTATAATATTATAAATGTTATATTAGTTAGAAACTGTTTTCCTTGATGTGGGTGAATACCGACTGTCTAGTCGGTAAAGGAAAAACCTACTAGAAAAACCTACTGTCTAGTAGGTAAAGGAAAGCTTGTATTTTGTCTCCCCCCCCCCCCAAAATCACAATTTTTACTATTTTAAATCTTGCAGGATTCTGGTGTGGTATTGAATTGGATAAACCTCATGGTAAGAACGATGGTTCAGTGGGAGGTGTTCAGTACTTCAGTTGTCTTCCTAGATATGGTATATTTGCACCACCATCTCGGGTACAGAGGTGAGCACTGAAGCAGTTTTACTGTTTGTGTTGCTAACACTTTCTTAGTGTATTTCCAGTGGGAAACACAGTTTTGCAGCACATACGCTGCAAATGATACCTTTCTTTTGCTGCTGATGGAGGTTTACAGGTTCTGTTGGTTTTAGACCAGCTTTTTGAAAACAAGAGTGTAAATTGGAACTACAGCTCCCCGTTTCTGTTGCAGCCGCTTCAAGTATTTTCGTTCCAAGGCCTATGTTTCTAATAGAGTCTGTGTTCGTTAAACTTTACATTCATGGCCCAATCCTAAGGCTGTGAGTAAAATTTTACTGTAAAAGAAAGTTACCCTTGGACATGAGCGGCAGTACTATCTATGCTCATTCCTGTTTACTGCACAGAGGATCCAAAGCATCCACCAAGTTTGTTTGTAGTCCCTTTGTTAGGTTTCTGGAGGAACATCAAAAGCAATATTGTACTCTTTCCTCCCATATTTGTATCCAGCTACTCTGCCAGATGTATTCTTGCTTATCTTTCCCTGAAGTTCCTAGCTCAATAAACTGTCAAAGAACTTTGCCTCAAAATTATGCATGCTTTGTTGCTTTCTGTAGTAACTTAAATAAAATGGGTTGATATAGGCATCTGCTATATACCAACCTGATTACAACTAGAATGTTAGTGTCTTTCGGGGGTGGAGGGAGAAGAGAAAGAATCTCAATCCAGCAGTAGTTTTATTAAAAGTTAAGTCGAAATGACTTCTTCTGAACTGTTGTTGTATTATTGTTCTTCAGATTAACAGGTTCTCTGGATTCTCTCACAGAAACGTCATTGAATAAACTAAATCACAGTTTTCCAGGTAGGAATGTAAGACGTCTGTGATTTGGCTCGTGTAGCCTACAGACTATTCTACAACCAGAAACTACAACACAAAAAAAAACTTCTCTGAAAGCAGAGTAGGTTTTGAGAGAACCCCAGTGCCAGCAAATAGTCTGGCTGTTACCTTCCTAAAAACGGACCCTGCAGTTGCTGTCTGCAGAAAGAACTGTGGAATACCATGTTGTTATTAACTCTATTCTTGTAGAAGTAATTACAACAGAGTTAAAACTGTTTTCATAAGCTAATGACACTCTTCTCCATATTACTATATTGCATTCTAGTCATAGTTTACTATAAATTGAATCTGTTCCTTAAATTAAGCTCAGACTGATGAGGGGATCAGCGCAGGGAAGGGGGTCTGTGTCGAACTACTAAAACTTTTCTGAGATACTTGAAGAAGATTTTTTTTTTTTTTAAATTTTTTCCTGCCCTAAACTTTTTGTGGAAAGGTGCTTCAAATTACCCTTGTTCTATTTGCTTAACCTAATTTCTGTCATCTTAGAAAAGCTGAACATGTTACTAACACTTATTTTCATGAGAAATTTCATCACCTGGTTTCCCAATAGGAGGGGAGAATGTGTCGCAAATGAAGTGGAAGCAGCATGAAAGAAAACATAAAGAATATGAGTTCAGATAGGGTTTTTCTATGGGGGCTGGGTGGGTGTTGTTGTTGTTGTTGTTGTTTTAAAAGTTCTACACAGCTTATTAACCTTTCCACTTAGGTTTTAGACGCAGTTTAAGCACGACTTCTGCATCTTCACAAAAAGAGATAAACAGAAGAAACGCCTTTGTTAGGTGAGTGTGTGTGCTTATGGATGAAAGGTGTGAGTAAGGTTTACTGTTTCTCGTTCAGAAGAAAATAAAATCTTTATGCCTGTATAAGAAGTATATAGACCTTTATACATTCCTATTTTTCTTCCAAAATTAAATGGGAATATATTATTTTTCAGTGCTATCTAGGAGTACAGTCCCTGGATTCAAGGAAGCATTAAGATTATTTGCCAGTCATTCAGTCACTGTATGCATATTCTCCAAATCCTTGTGGTTTCACACAGCTCTGTGTGTGAAGTTTGGAAAGTCTCATTAAAGCACTTCACTCTCTCCTGTTGATCCTGATTCAGCCTTACATGTTACAAATTGGTTTGGCTAAACGCTTTGAAGAGCCTGATAAAATGTGTTGTACTACTTAATTTACCAATACTATCAACCAGCCTAAATATTGTGGATCCTAGCATCAAGTGAAATGAAATTGATTTTCCAAGTATTTCAGAGTACTGAGTATACTAGCATATTAATGTTGTTACATGTTTTGCTATTGACATGAGATCAAAAACATTTTTAAGGGATTTGAGGGTTTTTTTCCACACACTTCACTGAATTATCTATTTGCATTGCCTTGGATGTTTTATACAGAGAAGGTGTTTTCTTTTGGTTTTTTTTTTCGTTTTTTGTTTTAAACTAGATCTAAGAGCTCTGTGTTACGGCGCAGTTGGAGTAATACCACTACAGCTAACACTGAAGGACCTGTGAAGTTGCACGAAGGCTCTCAGGTTCTTCTAACCAGCTCCAATGAAATGGGTACAATAAGGTACATTGGTCCTACAGACTTTGCACCGGGGATATGGCTTGGACTTGAACTCAGAAGTGCCAAGGGAAAGAATGATGGATCTGTGGGGGAAAAGCGCTATTTCACCTGTAAGCTGAACCATGGGGTCTTAGTTCGACCTAGCAGAGTAACCTATCGTGGGATTAATGGGGCAAAACTTGTGGATGATATTTGCTGAGTCAAGATGTACTAATACAATGGAAAATAAGTTTTAAAGCACATAAGAACCCCATCTTAGAATACCAACTTACTTTTAAATTATTGAACCATTATTTGCATTCAACGTCTGTATGTGTGTGTGTACATATATATATGCATGTGTGTATTACACACACACACACACACACACACACACACACACACATCCATCCATCTAAAAAAAAAAAAAATTCAGTCACATGAAGCAGTCTATTCCATTGCTCTTATTGAAACAGCCCTTGCCTGAGAAGATTACTGCAAAAGCATCTTGGGTTTGAGATGCTGCGTTATTTGAATAACACTCCAGTAAGAGAATGCAAGTATATCTAATGTTCTCTAAAGCTGCTTGTGATTCATGCAGTATTTAAACAATTTTCTTCCATGTAGTAATGAACTGATAATACTCTGTGCATTGCCTGCTTTTGACAGAGGAGGTGGGTAATACGGGACATTCCTCTGTTTACTAGACACTGTCAAAGTCAACACCAGCTGCTAGCAATAAGCATGGAGGGGGGGGGGGGAAAAACCCTTCTTTTTTTTCAAGCAGTTGCAAAGTAGTTCCACATTTTATCATTCAGCTCCCTCTTCTTTTCCCCTCCCATTCTTCCCTCTAAGACAAAAGGGCTGATAAATGAAAGTATTTGCGGCTATCCTAGTGAACAGCTGCACTTAAATAAAAAGCCTTTAAAAAGCACAAATATACTTCATGTAAAGCTGTGTAGGAAAAAAGCACTTTTTGTTGTAGGCATTTGTAGAAAGAGCTATGTACTAGAAGCACTCTTCAAAATAATGCACTTTGCACTCTCCTGGAGAGTTTTCCCTCATTTTAAAAGCTCTGTTTGTTTGGTGTGTTGCAGCATGTGAGTATCACAGTTTTTAATGCAAATAAACCCAGAGTGCAACTATACATAATAGCTGCATCGTAACTATTAAGTCTGTATAAATGCAGCATGGTACTGCCTGCCAGTGGTATGGATCATATGCAGGGTTTTTCAAGCAAGCTCTTAACATTTGGTTAGTTTGTGGTACGTGCTTCTTTTTGTTTCCTTTAGAACAGTTTCCCATGTAAATTTCCTGTAAGAGAGAGTCTCGTGTTGAATTCAGGCTCGGTTTAGATACAGCTTTATAACACATTATGCTGTGGTATTATTTGCATCTTAGCTTTTTAAAACGGCTAGTGTTTTGCCCATATTTTAAGCATAAAATGTATTTTAATTGCTCAGCATATGTAAACTGTATCTTATTGATGGGTATCAGGCTGTTTTTATGTTCCGGAACAGTCATTTTATTCTTGAATGAGCTGCTTGCTTTTACCTACTTGAAAGAAGTGACACTTTAAATTACATCATAAAATATCCTATTTTTAGACAGAGTTCTGCTGTTATGTTATTTTTAAATATTGCTGTAGCTATTTTTCCTGAGCTGTATTTAAAAGATTGCGTATTGTATTCTAATTTATGGGAGTTTTTAATTGACTATAAAAGCTGTAAATTTTGAATGTAAAGAAAATGCTTTATATTTGAAGATGCAGATATTTAGTGATGTACTGAACTTCTTTACTTTGTCCAAAATCTGTTTCTTGCTGTTATTAGTAAAAGCAAACCCTAGTGAATAGTATGTCAAAGAGAATTTATATTAGGTTACATCCTTACTCTCATTTTATTCTTTTTGTAAATTATGTAACTACGGTAGAGTCTGAAACAGCAGCTGTAATATATAAATTAGAAGTTGTTAATATCTTTAGCTGTATGGTGCAAAATAGCCAGCTGTCAAACAAAGTGTCAAACACATTTCTCTAGTTCAGCCCAACCTCACTCACCTGTTTGTTTGGGCATTAAACTAAACTAGAATTATTAGCAACACTAATTTTTCTATTTCATGAGATGGAATGAATATAACTGCCTTTCCTGAGGCGAAGCTGGAGTTCTTCAGGAGGTGCTTAGGGAAGTCAGTGTGAGTAAGGCAGCAAGCTGAGATACATTGTTATAGTCACACCACTTACGTGTGGCCTGTCTTGCACAGATGAAGAACATGTATGGGACCAGCATCTTTCCAACAATTTTTGTGATTCACTGGTAACTCTTCTTTCCCCAAGTCTTTGACAGGTTGCACCTCCCACAGCAGGAGGCTGCATAGCTGTACCCAGTTCAGCTGGAAGTGGGGGGGGTCTCAGTGGCCTGGGCTAGCCAAGACTACAGGACTTTGAATCCTGCCTTATGGAAGGTAGAGAAAAGAGCACAGATATTACCTGAGCTTTGGTGTAGTGTGCTTTGCCCTTCAATTTCAGCTTCTGCTAGCCACAGACCTCGCCTGAAAGCTCTGGCTACGGTCAGGTTATAGCGCGGTATCCTAGACTGAGTTGGGACCATTATCAGTGCAGAGTTGTTTTGGTAGCACTGAGAGTCTTCTGTGGAGAAATGTGACTATGTGCAGCCTGAAACAGAAATAAATCAGTTCCCCTAGTTCCAGACAGGATTACTAATGGGTAGCTTCAAGTTGGTGGGGTGAGAGATGTGTGCTTCCTTACATCCAGGGTAAGCTGCCATAATCTTTTTCCCCAACTCTTGCCGTAGACACTTCATGTCATTTAAAAAAAAAATCTGAGAAATTACTGGCACTGAAGTTTGGAATTAAGTGCTATGCTGAATGGGGTAGCAAAAGCAGCTGTCCTGAGGTCTGTAGGGTTGCAGCCCTAGACCTGTTAGAAGTAAGCCAGCTGGTGTCCAAAGTCCCCATGAAATGCCTAAGTAAAGTATTATTATTTAATATATAAACAAACGGTCCCCAGCAGTTCTGTGCTGCTTGTGCAGACTCAGAGGCTTTTCGTTGTTCGGCACACATCTCTGGGGCCTGGTTTCAGTAGAGGTAGTTGTTTAGCGCTCTCAGCGCTGAAGCATTTCAAGCTTTGTTGGAAACTGGCTGGAAACAGGTAGGGGCACAGGTGTGACAGGAGGAGGAGAACTTCTTTGAAGAGTCCCAGGATGGGGGAATTTATTTCTGGCGCGTTCTGTCCAGTTGGCTTCAGTGATCGTTTTGCAGATGTTGACAGTAATGTTCTCCTGGGCAGGGAGCCTGGGCTTTTAAATGTTGGTGTCCAACAAGAGCTGAGGCTCAAGGAGCCGAGGCTGGCACTACAGAGTGGCAAAACGTTATATAAGTTATCTAACAAGCTGGCTCTGCTACCTGAGAGTTGCACAGATGGCAAGTTCGCATTTACTTGCTAACTTGTTAGGTTTATAGCGCATTCAAATTGTGATGAAGCCATGTCAAACACCAGGTGAAAAACTGAGATCAGTGTCCATGAAAGCCACATAGCAATGTTCCAACTCGCATCCATTTTCCTGCCTTGCTGTAAGCGGACAACTCTGGGAAATAAATGGAAATTAGAAAAATGCCAACCAACAATAGATGCAAACGTGGTGATTCGCTGGAATCATAGCAGACCACAGGAAAGCTCCTTTTTCAATTAAGATGACAGGGAGGAACTGAAGTGCAGGGGAACGGTGGGAGAGGTGGCTGCTTGATGCCCACATCAAGGACACTGATCAGGAAAAAAGTCTCATTAACTAAAACAAATTAATAATCCTGCAGTGGAACAAGCACGTGGACAAGCAAGTGAGGAAGAACAAGGTTTGTAACTAAGTCTGTCCTATTTTGAAAGACTATTTCTTGTGGAAAGAGCAACATAAGGCATAAGATTAGTGCGGGAGGTGAACGTTTCAAGGCAGGAGCTAGCTCTTCCTTTGTTTGTCACAGGACTTAACAGTGGCACTCCCACTGTTTTAAATACAGCTTATAATTAGACCTGCTAAAAGTCGATGATGTTCAGACACAAATTAAAATGCTGCCCTAGAATACGCACACTTAGGAATGAAAGCACCCAAATACTTTCTTGAAGCATGTATTTTGTTGTCCATTAATACTAGCTAGTTTAGGGGAAAGCCAGCCTTGGTAGTTTCTAATAGAAAGCAGTCAGCTGTCTCTCTGTAAGAAGCAAACTTGGAGGTACTACATTTGCGAAGTAAACAAGTCTTAAACTAGCTACTGCTAGCCGGGAAGATGACTGTCTCAGTTAGTAATACTAACACAGCTGCTCCTTGGCATATAGGTGTACCCTGGTACTTTTTAAACTTAACCAAGTAAAAAATTCATGCACAAACCTCCCTTTGTTATTACAGTCTAGAGAAGCGAACTGATGCTGATAAAATCAGTGCAGAGAATTCAATGAACAACCCAACACAGACAAAGCCAGTAACAGTCATTTTATTTGTCTTCATGCCTTTTGGTTCACTACACTTGTTTACAATACAAATACACTATTCAATACAAAATACTCAATGACCATATATTAATATTTTTCTTCATAGTATCCCTGAAGTGCACAGGCCCTTCCTTTATAATAATGTTGCATAAGCTGCTGTACATGAGACAGACATTCCTAATGAAGCTTTGTTACTGAAAGAAGCCAGATGCGGACAAATAGACGTTTTCCTCTGATGGGTTTAAGTTTGGGGCAATTTGTGATGTCTTTGCAGCCATGAAAGGCTACATGCTATGCTATTCCTAGGTCAAGGTTCTTGTCGCCAAGATGCTAGGCTCAGTGACAGGAGCAGACACGCAAAGGTAAATCCTTCATAGCCTATTTCAGCCCTCGTGTGTCATGCAGTGTATAAACCACTGTGTCCACTGCTGCAGCTACCCTTACACTGAGCCTGCCTTTCACCATACAGCGGGGATGGGCGGGGAGGGACACCAGTGGGCCCATGATACCGCACCAAGGGGAAAGCCTTGGCCCAGTGCATGCGGTCCTCCAGCTTTTAACTTGTACCTGTCCCTCTGCCCCACCCTGCCCACAGCAGAGCCCCTCCAGCCCCCATTACTTCCAGCACTCCAGGAGGAAGTAGAACAAACCAAACTTCTTGCCTCGCTTCATACTGCCAGGGCACACAATGGAGAAACGGAGTTCAGTAGCAAAAAGGAAGACAATGAATGGACAGCTGGAAAGGTAGATAAATTGGCATCCAAGCCTATTTTACCTTCAGCAGCTTACAAATCAGCACAGACCCAGAAAACCTACCTAACATCTATAAGAAACAGGTAACAGCCACATGGAAATAAGCCATTTTCAGAGTGAGTCTGAGAGTGGTAGCACAGGATTTTTCCCAGTCATGCCTTTCATACTGTAGATCATACCGCTTCCTGCTTTTCCACTCTAGATTGAAGAAGCATACATAACAAAATGTCAATATTTCCAATCAAATAAATAGATTAATAGTCTTTCTTTAAACAAATTCCCTGCTTCAGATATTTGCATTCAATCCAGTAACTTACTTGTACTAATTAAAAAAAAAAAAAAAAAAAAAAAAGCTTTAGACAAAAATTTGTAAGAGGGTTAAAGTAACTTCAGTTTTTGTTTTGTTTTGTTTTTTTTTTGCTCCTACAACCTTCCAGGAGCTATCACTGTAAGCCCAGTGTGGCTGGGTTTAATAAGGGGTTTCAGGATTTACACATACCGGGGGGCTTTGGTGTGGTGCGCTGATGGGACCTTAAGCTCCTTCTGATCACTGGAGTGCTCGGAAGTTAGCAGGTGCATCTTTCCAGACACAGCAATTAAAAATGCCTAGTTCATGATGTCATGATGGGACAAAAATGGTCTTGCTACTGGTATATAAAGGAAATTTGATGGAACACACCCAATATAAATGGGAGCACAGACACATGAATGTTTAATGCATTCAGATATTTTTAACAGAAAGGCTGTAAGTATCTTCTTTGCCGTATAGCATTTAGGTCTCTTTCAGCCTGACAGTCTCATTACTAACTATGGAGAGCGAATTACTCAGCTCTTTATGTGCACACGGAGTCCATCCTCTCTAAAATGTAATTGTTAACTTTACCCCAGCTCACAAGTGATTTTTTTTGATAAGAGGTAAGAGCCCTTCCACAAACCAAGTGTCTATTGTTTCCCTCTGCCCTGCACGTCACCTTGGCCTGTCCTAGGGAAA